ACTCTTTTTGATATTTATAAGAGTTTAGTGCTTCTGGTAACTTAAAAAAGGTAAAAAAAAAATCTAGTTGTTTGTAGGAAATATTTGATTTTAGGATTAAATTCTGTATTTGCATGCTTATTCTGTATCTTTTATTTACTGTTGTCTATCACCAATGCTACATGTACGTGCCACAACATAAACTGGCAACCCATTGCTCTGCTGAAATTTATTTGAAAGGAAACCCCAAATACAACTTGAAACTCTTTTGAACAGATGAACTTCACTGAATTTTTATAGCCAGACTTATATCACGTAGAATTTGTCATTGATCATGCATATAATATAGAAGCAGCTGTTTGCCTTCAGTCAGTTTTTCCATTACTGTGACCAAAAGACTTGACAAGGACAATTTTAGAGGAGGAAAAGTTAATTGGAGGCTCATGGTTTCAGAGGTCTCAATCCATAGACGGTCAACTCCATTGCTCTGGGCCAGGTGCAAGAGAATATCATGGTGGAAGGGTATGGTGGAGGGAAGCAGCTCAGAATACGGCACCAGGAAGCAGAGTTCAGCTCACCAGGGACAAAATGCCTCCCCTAAAGACTGCCTCCAGTGCCCCACCTCGCCCAGCTACATCCTACCTACAGTTACCACCCAGTCAATCCATTCCAGTGGATTACCATACTGATTAGGTCAATATTCTCATAACCTGATCATTTCTCTAACTTTCTTGCATTGTTTCACACATGGGCTATTGGGGGACACCTCATATCTAAACCCTAACAACTTATTTCAAGAGGCGCCGTAGAGGACATAGGTTTGGGATGATACAGATGCTCACATCTGATGAACAACTGGCTGATTCTTCCTTGAAGGATGATTTTAGGAAGCTTGTCAGTCATTAAATATGTTGCATTAGAGCATAATTACGTTTACAAATACTGTTTTTGTTGTCTTGAATTAAAATTTTTACTTCATCAATAATGTGTATAAAAGCAGTTGGCATGTGCAAGGCACTCAAAAAAGTTTGCAGTCTGAGCTTGTCTCTATTATACGTATTATTGTAGATGCTAGGAACCCCTCTTCATGTATCCCCACAATCTTCCTAATGAGATGCTATTTCTATTCCTGTCCCAACTTATATAATGAGGAAACATCAAGTTGGGAGAAATGAGCCTATACAGGTATCTCTTGCCCCCTTTGAGGGGATATTTGCCAGTGAACACTTTTATACTCTTCTTGGGGGCTTTTGTCCTATTATGATTTATGGAATTAAGAAGTGATGAGTTCTCCTAACTTCTCAGCATAGAAGATCTAGCTTCTTCATCATGCAACATTATGTTATGAAAAAGATTTATACCACATTATAGAAGGTTATAAATGCTCTGAGAACGTCAGATCATTCAAACTGCAACAAAATATGTCCAAGAGGAGATGCAAGAAAGGTTTGGTCTGAGACAAAGACAGGAGGGTTAGGAGCCAGGATGGGTCTCAGATATCCACTGATCTCAGACCTCCATCCTTTAATCACATGCTTAGAAGAGCTCAATCCAGTGATACTGGATTCCTGCTCCCACTCTGCTATTTTTTCCCCTTCTATATAGCTTGACATAAACATCAACAAGAAAGAAATAGCTGGATGCATTTCACCAAAGAGAGGAGTTTGAGAAGTTATGGTGTGGTGGATGTCATTTCAGAAATGTTATATGCTCATAATTCCTCTGTTGAGTCACCAGCCCACACTATGATGTTGGGTTTTAAATTCACAAGCTTAAGTCTTACCTGACATCCTCCCCCTCAAATGTCTCACAGGTACCTCAAACTCAGTCTGCCCAAAACTGAACCATTTTTCCCCCAAAGCAAAAACTATCAACTTAGATCATTTTGCCTCTTGTTGACACCTGGCAATGTCTCGGGACATTTTTGGTTGTCATGAGTTGGGTGGGGGCGCTCCTGACATTGAGTGGGTAGAAACAATGGATGTAAAACATCCTACAATGTATAGGATGGCCCTCTATAACAACAAACCATCTGGATTCAAATGTCAATAGTGCTGAGACCGAGACACCAGCTGGATATCTCCATTTTTGGTGAAAGAAAAGTTCAACACAACAGCCCTTTTCCTTCACCTTCAACACCAAGGGATTATTAACTTCTTTCAACTCCCTAATGTTTCAAACCCAAATTCTTTTCTCTATTTGCAAGACTACTGTTTCCTTCATGACCCTGTCGTCACTTCCAAGGATGGTTACAAGTATCCTTATTTGTCTCTAATTCGCTTCCTGCAATGCTGGTTGAGTCACCTTTGAACTGAGTCAACTTCCTCTTGTCACCTTCTGCCTCCCTCTTGACTTTCAGTCTCCCATCATCACACACAAGACCCTCATGATGAAAGAGCCCTCTTCTCTTCTCCAAGACTCAGATCTCATCTCTGACCTTGCTCTGTCCTCTAATTATAACCACAGAAGATTTCCGGTAGCTTCTCATATATATCATGGCTCTCATATGCCAGTGTCTTTGTACCCCAGCAGTCCTCTGCCTGGAAGACACTTCGTCCATGCCACCAGCCCCACTGAGAGACTTACCCTCTCCTTCCCTGAGTCTGGTACTCTTGGATGCTCTTCCTGGCTGGGCAGCCTGTTTTCTTTTGCTCCTCTAAAACTTCTTCAATTTTCTTCCCAACTCTGTGTCCCAGGTAGTTTACCTCTGTAGACATACCAAAGAGCTCCTTTGACCTTGGGTTTCTGATTGGGTTTGACCAATGGGGGTGTTAACAGGAGACCAGAGGGTAGAAGAGATATTGGGACATTTATTCCATCTGCTTCTTCCTTGCAGGACAGTCGCTGGCTTCCTTCATCTAAACCCACAGCTTGTGTCTGGCAGCCATCTGTCACAGCTCCAGTTCTTGCTGGGCTCCACTAACTGCTCTTTCAGGCTTAGTCCAGGTACCAACTTCCTACTGTTGCTAGCCCTGAGGGCACTTCCTTCGAAACAGTCTCTTCATTAAATTCTCTTCAATCTTGCCTCTGAGGGCTCTGGAATCATATATTCTGCTAATGCCAAGGCATTGTACAATCATTGCCTTTTTACATATCTGTCTTCCAACAGATATGTGTATTCTTTGGAGAGTGAGAACTTTATTCTCTTTTGTATTTTAGTAGCCGAGTGCAGAATTGTGATGGGGCTGTTGTTCAGAGAATGAAAGTGGTATATGAACGAACATTCTTATCATCATACTCCCTTCTCTGCACATCCATAGGGTGGTGGACACTCTGAAGACCTTCAGAAAGACTCAATGAGATGTGCATAATCAGATCCTGTGGATATTTTATTTCAGCACAAAGGCCCCTGTCCAGAGAGCCTGAGAAACAGGCTGGCTAATCTGGAGCAGGAAGAGGCCCTGCCAGGAGGAGTATGGGCAGAGAAACAAAGCAGAGTAACATACTAGGCTTTTTTGTTGGCTTGTCTGATAAGTGCCTTGGGATGGGGTTGGGAAGTAGATGCAGACAGGCTCATTTTTTTTTACTTGTTCTAATTAATTATACATATAGGATGCATTTTGACACATTGTACACACATGGAGCACAACTTCTCATTCCTCTGGCTGTACATGATGTAGAGTCACACCAGTAGTGTAATCATACATGTGTGTAGGGTAATAATGTCTCTTTATTCCATCCTTCCAATCCCCACAGCCCCACCCCTCTGTACAAACCAAAGTTCCTTCATTCTTCCCTATCCCCCCACCTCTCTATGGATCAGTATCCGCTTATCAGAGAAAACATTTGGCTTTTGGTTTTTTGAGATTGGCTTATTTCACTTAGTATGGTATTCTCTAGTTCCATCCATTTACCTGCAAATGCCATAATTTCCTCCCGACAGGCTCTTTGGCAGGACAGAGGCAACAAAGCTCTGCTAGTGATTCCAGGGGTCTGGGGAAGGCATCTCTGCATCTGCAGCTCATTCCCCATCCCTATGTTCAGATTGGAGTATATGATTCCTAATGGCCCCTTCCACACTGAAAATGTAGTGGATACGTGTAGATTTAGCCTTCTGCATGGCCTATCCTCCCTCTCTTTGTCACCTCACATGGTCAAATGGGTTGATTCCACACCTGAGTTCAAGGGTGGGCATGTGACCCAGGCCGGAATAACAAGGGCATCAGATTCCCCCAGATAATGCAATCATTCGGGGACAGTCACACAGTGCATTCCATCTCCTATTGCTATGATGTTAGGCCCAGGAATGAGCTCATGACCTGGGTGGTTTAAGTCTCAATGCTGGGACTTTAAACCATGAATGAAGAGGATCTCTATGCTAGAGTCAATAAAGAGGGCAAAGTATAATTCAGGAGCTGTTGGCAGCCACAGTATCACTACAGGGGAGAACACCCATGATAAAAAAACAGAATGGAGAGATGCAGAGAATAAGACTGGTTCCTGATCACACTTGCAGCCTGTATAGACACCATTATAGCTGGAACCAGTTACCTGTTTACTTCTTAATTACGAGACCCAATAAATTCTATTCCACTCGTTCATTCCACTTAAGAGAGACTGAGTTGAGCTCTCTACTATCTGTGACCAAAGGATTCCCGACCTATAATAGAAACTCTATTTTTCTTTAAATTTTAAAACAGGCACAAAAAGTTGCATGGAATAGGATTCCATTTATAAGAAATTTCCATAAGAGACAAATCCATAAGAGGTAGAAAGTAAATTCGTGGTTTTTAGGGGCTGGTAAAATGTTTAGTAACACTAATGAACACCAGGATTCTTTGGGGGTGATGAAAACATTCTGAAATTAGATAGTGGAGATGGTTGCACAACTCTGTGAATATAACAAAAACAACTAAATGGCACACTTTAAAATGGTGAGTTATGTGATGAGTTGTATTTCAACCAAAAAAACAGAAAAAAAAATTGTCATTACAGTCATTGAAGTCCCCCCAGGGAGTAAATGGAAGCATCAGCCTCCTCATTTCCTCACCATGAGGGATAGAAGTTACTGAAGCAAACAATGCAGAATTGGAAAATGCTTTATTTCAGGGGAATACAAAGTTAGTGAAATACAAGGGAGGGGGAATGTTATGATAACCTGGAATAACAGAAGGAATGGTCACCAGTGTTGCTTTCCAACTACAAACATGAATGGGGACCTTAGTATTTAAGGTTAAAACATGATAAGCACAAGCTATAAGTCACTGGGGAGTGGGCTTCCCTCATTTGATCTAGAAATTATGAAACAATCAGGGGCAGCAACCCTGGAGCTGTAGCATCCATCTCAACACAAAATTCTTCTGTTTCATTTACCAGATGACCAGGAATCATACACTAGTTTGGCTGCCACCATGTCTTCTATTGCCATTCCTGGAATGAACAGAAATTTGGGTCACTTTTTGTCAGAACAATGCCCAAAACGACCCAGGCCCTGTGACTGGCAGTTTTCTGATAATATTGTACATGCTGCAAATGCCCATCAGGATAATAGGGACTGCTATCCGGAGGTGAGTTCAGGCTTGGATAGTTCTGCAAAGGGCAGGGCAAGGCAAATGTGTGTCCATCAAGGCCTAGTTCAGAGGTCAGCATACTTTAGAGTCAGATGGTAAATATATTCAGCTTTGTGGGCCACATGGTCTCTGTGACAAGTACTCAACCCTGACTCTGACAGTGGAAAAGCAGCTGTCGATGATAGGTCAGTCAATGGGCCAGCCTGTGTTCAGATACAACTTTATGGAAACTCAAATTTGAAATTCTGTCATTTTCATGTGTCATGAAATATTATCTTTCTGGTTTTTCGTCTCCTAATCATTTGAAAATGTGAAACAATTTCTTTGTTTTTACAAAAAAAAAAAAAAAGTTTCTATCTCCTGGGCCCTACAGAAACATGTGGTTGGCCAAGTTTGGCCCCATGGTCTGTAGTTGCTGACCTCTGGTCTGGTTCAACCCTGCATCCTTTGCATCTCCACTTTGTCTTGTTTAGCTTGAGCATCCCTAATCTGAAAATCTAAAACCCCAAATGCTCTGAAATCTGAAACTTTTTGAAGATCAATTTTGAAGCATTACAGATTTCAGATTTTCAGATCAGGGATGCTCAACCAGAGCAGCCTGTTAAAATATTCTAAAATTGAAAACACCTCTGGTCCCAAAAATTTTGGATAAGGGACACTGGATCTGTAATTCTGAATATATACCTTAACTTTGCATCCAGCATAGATGCATAAAGGTGTTCAGATGAAAAGATGTGACAGTAAACCAATCCCCAAAAGGGAGAAAACAGAATACTGCTCAAAAGGGGAATGCAGGTTTCTGCTGCGTTTGGCCTCCTTAAGGGGGCTGGCTGTCCTCTGGTCTGCTGTGAAGCCTGAAACTTTCAGACACAACAGGATCAATGGGATGTCTCTGAATCAAATTCTGCATAAAGCTTATACTGTCTTTTTGCCTGTTTTCAAGTACCTGAGAGATTTAAAAAAATGTTTAATAACTGGCAAGGCATGGCTACTAAACCATACCATGGCTTCTGGGTGGCTAGAGCCCTCTTAATACTCTGCCAAGCATTTGAGCTTGTTATGAAGTATGGAGAAGGGCAGAGGGCACTCCTGAGGGGCTCAAGGTAGCAACTATATAGCAACAAGTTTGGGATTAATTCAGTATTGTAGGCCTATCAATTGAATGTGTTCTGTTCCCATGCACTTCTATTCTCTTAAATCTGGTAGAGTGGAAGAGGTGAGCCCAGGGGCCCAGAGGGGAGCCACTGGGAGCCCAGTCTTGTTGGGTTTCTACCCGTGCCAGCTCAGGTAGTTTATAGCTCCCATGAACCATATCGTGTGAGAAGCAAGGAGGAGGGTAGGGAAGGAGGGAACAAAGAGGTGTCAGGCTGAGCTTCCTATCTGAATCTCTTTCAGGCTTGGATAAGGGACACTGTTCTCCCTGCCCCCACCTCTGAAAGTTGTCTCCTGAATTCATTTAGATCTAAGTCTGAATGATAGCACCATTCAGTTTCCAAGTACCTCTCACTTAATCCTCATAACAACTCAGAGTAACAGGTGCTGAAGAATGTGTGGCTCCGAGATGTCAGGACGAGGACACACACCCAGTACGTGGCAGAGAAGGGACTCCAACCCAGGACTTCCCGACACATCTTAGTGCAGTGAACTTCCCAGAGTTCACTGCACTAAGACATGTCAATAATTGACTGGCGTGGTGGACTCAACAGTGATCCAGCCCCAGGGCCTGTTGACTCATTTCTCTTTGCCCCACTTGGGAAGCCTGCCTGTGCTCTGGCTGGATTTGTGCCCAGGGAGCAATGGATCTTACCCAGAGACTTGAACACCGTGGTCTTCTCACAGTGGGCGGGCTTCATGCCCTTCACGACTTCCCCCAGCTCAGCGAAGATCTCAGCCTGAGAAACAAACACACAGCGACTAAGGGAAGGAGCCAGAGTCTGCTCGGGGTTGGCTTCAAGGGCTGAACTTGATAAAAGACCATGTGGAAACTGGATGCTGTCCCCTGAAATCCTTTCTGATGCCATGAATGCAGACAGCTGAGCTTGCATGGAGCGGGGTGGCCTGCCAGGTCCCCGTCTCAGTGAGGAAATAGACGTGTCTTGATCTGAACATGCATTCTGGCTGCCCCCTTCTTGCTTCTATGCCCTGATTACAAGGGAAAAAGGCACCCAAAAGGGGATCAACCACAGTCCTATTGTCCTGGCCACACGGGGAAGCTTTCTAGGCTGCAATAGGCTCCCATCTCCTAATCCTACTTCCTTATAAGAAGGTCCAATGGAACCCCCCCCCCAGCTTCTCTCTCCTGGCAGAGAGTTCAGGAAAACACATGCCATCACCATAATGGCCATATTTTTCTGGAATTGGATTAAAAAGGGTGGAGTGATGTTTAGGAGCTTCTTCCCCATCAGGAAGTGAGTGGACCAAGGTCTGGAAGAGGATAAACTGAAGGGGAAGTTAGTGAAACCCTGGGATCCAGTCCAGGCCAGACAACAGCTGTGCCAGGCAGGACAGGAGGCTCACCCCTGACAACAGGACATCCCCTGACTCCTTCAGGGCAGCCTCCCGGGAATCCACATACAACACGGCCTGCTCCATGAGTTCATCATCCAGCTCCCGCCAGTCAGGTCTGCTGGCTCCGACGGCTAGGAGACAGCAAGACAAAACCTCAGCCCAGAAGAGTCCCAAGGGATACTCATCAGGACAAGACATTCAAGAGAGCTGAACAAAGGTCATGTGGGAATATTCAGACTTGGAAAACCACCTCACTCCCTAGGCCAAGCAGCCCCACCCAATTGGTAAGACCAAATATTATTAAAAATAATTCTTACCATTTTTTTCCCTTTCTGTTTTAGATTCTACCTTATTCCTAAAATATTTTGAGGCTACTTAGCATTCATTTATTGGATACTTACTGTGGGGTGTCTTACATACACTATTTATGGTCTTTACAAGTACACTTCAATGTCTGATTCCCATTTAACAGACACACAAATTGAGGCTTTGAGGGGTGGACTCTTAAGGTTCCATCTCATCCTGAATCCAGGTTTGAGAGTGCCTCTTACCAGAAGTGATGGTATCTTAATAAAAACCTTGAAACAGAGCTTATTCACACCCAGGCTCCTTATCTTCTGGTTTAGTTTCCAATCATTACCACTCCTCATTCCTAAACACTTTTCTTTGAACTCATGAGAAAATAGCACAATGTCAAGGTCACAGGGAAGCCCTAATAGAAGGAAGGCTGGCTCCTTCCTGGCCTTGAGCATTCACAACCTCCACAGAGCCCAGGACCAGAACAATGAATCCCATACATCGTGCCTCCTGCTATGGGGACACAAGATAATGCAGAGCCTGCAACCAAATGCCTGCAGAGCCAGGCAGGTAATGGAAAGGAGCAGAGTTGATAGAGGCACCAGATTGGAAATGGTGGAGGCCACGAAACACAGAAGGGAGCCGGCCTTCTCCAGGGGATGGTCATTGTTCAGTTCCAGCTAACTACTGCCATGTGTGAATCACTTGTCACTGTTACCAGATATCCCCATTTTTTTTTTTTTAAGAGACCGGAAATCTATTTGCAAGTGTTATTTCTTGATTTCTCTAAGGTCCAAACAAAACAGGCTGGCTGGATCCAGCTCAGGGCAGTTAGTCTTTGAAAACTGCTGTGAAGTCTTTTCCAAGTAGAAGGCAGCCTTTAAGTGTTTTCTTGCACTGACTTCCAGTTTGCTCAACTGTTCTCCTCCTCCTGTTTGCCCTCACTCTAATTTTCAAAGAGAGTAGTGTAAAACTGTCCATCTTGAAGGTCGTTGGTGCGGGGGAGTTCTATAGAACAACAGCACTAGCTATTGAAGCTCGTAAATAAATCATAAGCTGGTGGGAAAAAAAAGCCTCCAGTTTCTCAGGGCATCCCTCATTCTGCAGTGTTCCCCTCAGTTCTCTGCTGCCCGTGAGCTCTCAAAGGGTTATTTGAGGTTACTTAGGCAGATGGAGGTGGGCCAGGCAGCGAAGGAGGGGCCCAACTCAGAGAAACTGAGGGACTAGAAAGACTTGCGGGTCAGAAGACTGGCTGGTGGGCTGGGGGACAGGGGATGTAAGTGTGGGGGAGGTTGGAATCAGGCCTTCTCTCAGCTGAGCTGTAAACCAGGTAAAGTCTGTTGGTGTTTCCCTGTTGTCTGCGGGGACAAGCTTTTTTGAAGTGCACTTGGTGCCTCTGTGAATACAGACAGTAATTTTGTCCCTAGGCAAGGGAACCAGAAGAGATACCTTGGTTCAAGATCAAGTCAGATCTTCTTGGAGGGAGTTCTCTGCTATTGACTGAGGATGAGGAAAGGGGAAGGTCCCTAGGAATTGAGACCCTCTGTTCTACAACACAATGGACTAAATACTGTCACAAGGATGTGGCCTGGAAGAAAACCCTGAACAACTTGATGAGATTACAGCCTAGAAAACACCTGATTTCACCCTGGGAGACTTCTGAGCAGAAGACCTAGCTAACCCATGGCCAGACTCCTGAACCACGGAAACTGTGAAGACAGTTTTAGGTTGAAAAACAAAAAATCAAATCGTCTTGGTGGAGATTCAGCTCTGGCCCTGGGAACCCACTTCACCAGGAACTGATTCCTTTTGATTCCCCCAAGTCCTTCCAGAAAAAGTTTTAATTTCCAAAAACCACCTCTTCCCTACTCTCTGGACCTACCTTATAACAACAGACCAACGCAAACTGGGACCTTGATTTTACTTTGGTGCGTTCCTTAAACATGCCACGATCACTGTCACCCCTGAGGTCTTTGCATTCACCGTCGTCTGCCTGCAGTGCCTTTCCTTCAGCTCCTGGCATGGCTGGCTCTTCCTCATCATTTAGGTTACAACTGAAAAACTGCCTCCTCCGAGAGCTGTTCAGATAACTCTATGGATAGGACCTACCTCCACATCCGCCCTCTGCTTCACTATCAAGTTCTGTCATGGTCCTGTTTCCTTCAGAAAGGCTCATCTTTAGCAGAAGCTCTCTATGTGTCTGTTTCTATCTCCCCTCATTAGAATGTAACCACTAGGAGAGTAGTGACCTCAAGTGCCTAATTAATTGTGGCATCCCCAGCACGGAGATCAATGCCTGGTGCATGGTAGAAATTTAATAAATGCTTATAAATGAACACATATCACTGACTTGGTCCTGCCTGCTCATCTGCCCAAGTGTACACAACTCCTAGCTTCTGAGTCTACATCACTGTGCTTGTCACTGAAACATAGGGCACTGGTACCATTTTCTGATGGCTCTGCTCATCAGAAGCCAGTCTTTTTTTGTGTGTGGGGGGAGTGGGTGGATACCAGGGATTGAACCTAGGGGTGCTTAACACTGAGCTACATACATGCCCAACTCTTTTATTTGTTTTTGAGACAGGGTCCTGCTAAGTTGCTTAGGTCCTCACTAAGTTGCTGAGGCTGGCTTTGAACCCACAAACCTCCAGCCTCAGCCTTCTGAGCAGCTGGGATTATAGACATGTGCCACGGCGCCTGGCTCAGTCTTATCAGAATATAATATGGAGCTTTGTTTAAGGCTTGGGCTCTAAGGACAGACTTGCCTCAGTTCAAATCCCCATCCTGCCACCAAGCACCACTGGCTTTGGGCAAATTACTTAATCTCTCTATGCCTTGGTTTATCCTACCTGTAAAAAAGGAGCCATGATAATTATGGTTACTACCTCTTGAGGTTGTTGTAAAGATTAAATAACATAATAAAAACTTTAGAACAGCACCTGCGGTGAAGTATTTGATATAGACCAGCTCTTGCTGTAGACTCAAAGGTGAATTAAAGATCTTCAGAGGCCCCAGATACCCTCAGCCTTAAACTCCTCTTCCCTCCTCTATCTCACCACACAAATTAAAAGCATTCACATGTCTTTTGTACTATAATTTCTTTGAAACATTTTATAGTTTTGTGTTTGAAAAACAAATGATTTCCTTTTGGCCTTTGAGATTTAAATTGCATCACATTTAAGAATGAAGCTGTGCTTTACCATTCACTGCAGTATTACATTTTATAGAACAGTGTTAGTGAAATATTTATCAGTTTCATAGTTGCAATTTCCTTTTTTCATATATATATGTGTGTGTGTGTGTATGTGTGTGTGTGTGTATATATATATATATATATATA